TGGGGACTGGGGAGCCTGTCTGGTTTCCACACTTCCTTATGAGTCCAGCATCAGGGCCTGGGGTGTGCAGCAGAAATGGGACATGGGGACATTTCGAGTCCCTGGTACATTGAGCAGCGTCTCTTGCTGTGAGCTGACCATTCTCCACGTCAGGAGTGTCGTGGCGGCTGCACCCTGCCGTGGGCGCGGGAGCCTGGCAAGCCGCGGGAGCTCCCAGTCCTGGGAGAGCAGACTGCGCTTTGCCCTGTGGCTGCTCTCGGAGGGCGTGCCCGTTGTAAACTGGAGCCACCACCTGTAAATTCTCTGCCGGCCTCTGGCTGCTGTCAGTGTGACCCCAGCCAGGCCAGCTAGGCCTGGGACTGGGCGTGCCCCACAGAGGCCGCCCTCCACAGGCAGCAGCCCCCACAGCAGCCTGCTGTCCCTGGGAACAGGAGTGTCGGTGCGGTCTGACAGGGGCACCTGGCCGTGTGTCCAGCAGGAGGGGCCGGCAGCCGGTGCACAGGCAGGCAGGGCCAAGCTGTTCATGGTGGCTGTGAAGCAGGCGCTGAGCCAGGCCAGTTTCGACACCTTCACCCGGGCCCTGCAGGACTACAAGGGCTCTGACGACTTCGAGGCCCTGGTGGCCTGCCTCCACCCCCTTTTTGCCGAGGACCCCAAGAAGCACAGCCTGCTCCGAGGTGCCCTGGCCTGTCCCCCCGGGGGCAGTGTTGCAGCCCTGGGGTGGGGGACAATGGAGGACACCGGGTAGGCCACCAGGGTCCACAGTTGTCCCTGCTCCCTGGAAGAGGCACGGGTGGGTGGCCCATGATCCCAGAGCTCCCAGCCTGGCGCAGTAGCTGCGGCGTGTGGAACCCACAGGCCCAACGCTCCCCCAACAGGCTTCTACCAGTTCGTGCGGCCTCACCACAAGCAGCAGTTTGAGAAGGTGTGCATCCAGCTGACAGGCCAAGGCTGCGGCTGCCAGCCTGAGCACAGCCTTCCCCGGAGGCAGCAGGCACGGCCAGCCCTGGACCCTAGCGGTGAGCTGGGCCCTACCCCTGGTCAGGACCCTCAAACTCAGACCCTGAGGGAGGGGTGCCATCCGGGGTCTTGGAGTGGGTCCTTGCTTGGCCTAGCCTCCCTGTCCCCGTGGGGGCTGGCAGGAATCACTGCAGGGTGTGCCACGTGGGGTGGGGGGGGTCCCCAGAGCATTCACGGCCTGGGCCTGGGGCTCCCGGGAGGGCTTACACCTGGAGAATCGTGCATGCACTGGAGTCCTGGAGCCCTGTGCCCCCACTGTCTCCCTGGAGTGGACCCTACATCTCCAGAGCCTGGGAGCCTCTGTCCCCATTTGTTAGTGAGCAGCACATCCTGCCCCCCCCCCCGCCGTTGGTGGTCTGTTCCCCGAGAACAGGTGTCACTGGGGGTGCAGGGGGACTGGCTTAGGAAGACTCCCCCCTGCCCCCAGTGGAGGACTTTCCAGCCTGAGAGTCACCCGTCCTCCTCTTGGGCTTGATGCCCACTGAAGTGTCGTTACGCCTGGTCCCCCAGTTAAGGGATGGGCGAAGTCCTGCCACTCCCAGCACTCAGCCAGTGGGAGTGCACAAATCAGGTCCTCCTTCCGTGGTTTGAGAAGAGTGAGGCCCAGTCTCCCCTTGGACAGGCCTGCCTCCTCCCCAGGGACCACTCTGGCCCCTTGGGAACCAGCTGGGTAGCTACTTGTATCTCCATGTCTCTTCAGGAAGGAGGGAGCCTGACCCCAAACTGACCCTGTCCCAGGGCGCAGCCAGGCAGCTGGACCCCAGAGAACACCTGAACCAGGGCTGGCCCCACCTGACCTCCAGGCCGCCCTCTGCAGGTACCCCGACCCTGAAGAGGTTTCAGACCAGAGCCAGGAGCAGAGCTGAAGATCCCTGGGGGGAGGAGTCTCCTGGGGGCCTGCTCTGGTTCTGCACCCCCAGAGTGAGGGAGGCCGATAGTGTGAAGGCTCCCCAGGAGTTCCCAGAAAGCCAGGTGGAGCTCTCTTGGCCCCTGGACCCCCGACGTGGTCTGAAACATTACCTCCCTACCAGGAGTCCCCAGCAGCTGTCCACAAGAGGGGTGTGGAGCCCCTGGAGCAGAGAAGCAGGGCCAGCCCACTGTGAGCGCCTACCTGGCCGATGCCCGCAGGGCCCTGGGGTCCGCAGGCTGCAGCCAGCTCCTGGCGGCGCTGACCACCTACAAACGGGACGATGACTTTGAGAAGGTGGTGGCTGTGGTGGCTGCGCTTACCACGGCAAGGCCGGAGGACTTGCCCCTGCTGCAGAGCAAGTGACCACGGAGTGGGGGGCGGGGGGCAGCGGGGGAGTGGTTAGGCAGGGGGCCAGGCAGAGGAGCTGGGTCTGAGCAGGGCTCCTCACAGGGTTCAGCATGTTCGTGCGCCCACACCACAAGCAGCGCTTCCGGCAGACGTGTGCCGACCTGACTGGCCTGCCCACCCCAGGCACGGGCACCGAGTTGCCACGACCCGGGGAGGGGAGCCCCGCCATGCCTCCCAACCCCACTGGGCCAGGTAAGTGACTTGCCTGGAGCTCCCGCCACCCCCACCTGTCCCCCCGGAGCCCCACTCAGCCCCGCAGAGTGGGCAGCGGAGAAGCCCCTCAAACTCGCTTCTGTCTCCAGGTTCCTCACAGCCGGAGAAACCGGGGAAGACCCAGAGCAAGATCTCCTCCTTCCTTAGACAGAGGCCAGCAGGGGGTGCAGGGGCTCCCAGCCGGCCCCCTGGGGCCCCCCTCGGGCACGCACAGTCTGAGTGGGGTAGGTATCTGGGGGGCTGCAGGAACGGTTGGGAGTGGGGGACCGGCCTGAGCAGCAGGCCTCTGGTGCTCACGCAGCCCCCTTGCAGCAGGCTCCGCGTGCCCGGGCTGCGGGGTGGAGGACGCCGTCCTCTTCCAGTGCCCCTCCTGTGACTTCCACTGCTGCCGGGCCTGCTGGCGACGGCACCTCCAGGTCGGCAGCCCGACCCTGCGGACATGGCCCCATCCCCTGCGGACGCGGCCGGCCAGTGCCACCCCACCCAGTGGATGGAGGGGGCAGGTGGGCAGTGGTGTGTCCAGCACCCTCTGTGTCTCCACAGGGCTCTAGGACATGCCCGGCCTGCCACACTGCTGCCAGGAGACAGAGTGTCACGCAGGTCTTCTGGCCGGAGCCCCGGTGAATGTGGAGACCCTCATCCCTGCAGGCTCTGTGAAGGCTGAGGCCGCGCCACCCCAGACGCAGCTTGGACACTTGCCTGTGGGTGGGGGGTGGGCCAGGCCCAGCACAGCAACCCCTTTGCCAAGAGCCCACCGGACAGGGAGGCCAGTCCATTGCCCCCAGGACACCCGGAGACTGCAGCGGGATCTGAGCCCGCGTTCGAGAAGCTCTGAAGCCACCTTGGGGTCTGGGGTGGGTCAGCTGGAAGGTGTTTCCAGATCTTTCCTTGGTTGCTGGCTTGTGGGTGGAGCCCCAGGGACTTCACAGCTGAGCCCACTATCAGGAAGGAGGGGGTGCCCTCTGCTCCCTCCTTAGGGGGACAGTCTTGGGGGCCTGTGCGTGAGCAGGGGTCCTGCTTTTAATCAGGTGACAGGGCTCTCCCTAATAAAGCTGCTGGCACTATTGGAATGCCATCTGCGCGGCTGGCCTTGGTGGTGGAGTTTGAGGGTGCCAGGAAGGAAGGATGGGGGTGTCTGCACAGGGTCCTTGTGAGGGTGGCCTGAACACTTTGTCCCAGCTTGGCTCAGCCTCTGTGACACCAGAAAGGTGCCAAGCCTAGATCCTCTTCCACCCCGGACGCCAGGCCTGGTCATTGGGTCATGAGCTGCCCTGGTGCTGGGGAGGGCGGTGTCCAGATTGGTGACAGCCCTTGAACTGGGCTGTTGATGGTGGGCAGCCGCGGAGGGAGGGGCCCCGGGGCTGTGACGCTGCCGAGAACTGGGTCAAAGCGTCGCCCCCGAGGTTGCCGACCCCTCCCCCAGGGGCGTGGCGAGGCCGGCCCATATAGACGCGGCCTCACGGCAGAGCCCGAGCGCGGGCGACAGCAGGTAGGGCGGGCGGCTGGGGACGGGGCGGCAGCTGTGCCCGCTCCAGGGCGCCCGGAGGCCGCAGCCACCGCTCCAGTGGGGAGAGGACCATGCGGGGACCCGAGCGGCCGCCGCTGACCCCGCCGGGGGCGCTGCCCGCGCTGCTACTGGCTCTAGCTGTGCGTGGGGCGGCGGCGGGAACGCCGACGTACCCGTGGCGGGACGCGGAGACGCGGGAGTGGCTGGTGTGCGACCAGTGCCCCCCGGGCACCTTCGTGCAGCGGCCGTGCGGCCGGGACAGCCCCACGACGTGCGGCGCGTGCCCGCCGCGCCACTACACGCAGTTCTGGAACTACCTGGAGCGCTGCCGCTACTGCAACGTCATCTGCGGGGAGCGCGAGGAGGAGGCGCGGCCGTGCAGGGCCACCCACAACCGCGCCTGCCGCTGCCGCCCCGGCTTCTTCGCGCACGCCGGCTTCTGCCTGGAGCACGCGCCCTGCCCGCCCGGCGCCGGCGTGGCGGCCCCCGGTGGGTGCGGGGCCAGGTGCGGGGGTGGGGGGTGCCCCGAGGGGTGCGGGGCCCTGAGGGCGGCATGGGCGCTTCAGCCCGGCAAGGACGACACCCGGGCTCCACTTGACCTCGTCCTCCCCTCTCGTCCCCAGGCACCCCCAGCCAGAACACGCAGTGCCAGCCGTGTCCCCCGGGCACCTTTTCAGCCAGCAGGTCGAGCTCGGAGCAGTGCCAGCCGCACCGCAACTGCACGGCCCTGGGCCTGGCCCTCAACGTGCCGGGCTCCTCCTCCCACGATGCCCTGTGCACCAGCTGCACCGGCTTCCCACTCAGCACGCCCGATTTCAGGGGACCAGGTGACCCCAGGGGCCGGGGAACCAGCCTGTGCCCCTGCCCCCAGCTCTCAGGCCTGAGTCCAGCCCTGAGCATGAGTCATTTAGCTGGCTCCTGGGAAGGGCCTCCAGAAGCTTCATGGGGTCAAGGGGTCCCCCCAACCCCCTAGCCCCACCTGGGGAGTCTTGGGGTGGCAGGGGTGGGCATTAGTGCTGGCAGGTGATGCTATTCTGCGCTCCCCATCAACCCCGGATATAGGGAAACAGGCCCAGAGAGTTTGAACAGCTGTTGTGAGGTCACACAGCAGTGAAATGGCAGACCCTTTAGTGAGGCGTCTCACCCCTGGCCCCGGCACCCCCAGCCCCGCGCCTCCTGCAACCCCATCTTCCCCTTTCCTCCAGACTCCCCAGCAGTTTACACAACTCGCCCATTTGTTAGCGCAGAGCTTCTTCCTTTACTCTATGTCCTCCCCAGAGTCTGCGGGCTGACGACCCGTGCACTGGGACCTGACTGAGCCCCACCTCGCCCCAACCCTCCTGCAGGGACCGAGGAGTGTGAGCACGCCGTCATCGATTTCTTGGCTTTCCAGGACATCTCCTTCAAGAAGCTCCTGCGGCTGCAGCAGGCCCTGACGGGCTCCGGGGGACAGAGTCCGTTGACACTGAGGGAGGGCCGCGTGGCTTTGCAGCTGAAGCTGCGGCAGCAGCTCACGGAGCTCCGAAAGGCGCGGGCCGAGCCGCTGTTGACACGGCTGCTGCGGGCGCTGCGTGAGGCCAGGCTGCCTGGGCTGGAGCGCAACATCCGTGAGCGCTTCCTCCGGGTGCGCTGAGCACCCCCCTTTATTTATTCTACTCCCCGGCTGTGCCCCACCATGGGCATTGCCCCAAACCACACCAGAGGAGCCTTCTAAGCAGGCTCCTGTCAAGCTAACGGTTTATTTTTTATAAAGCCGTTTTGTAAAACTGAGTGAAGGGTCTGCTGGGAGCACAGTGGGGCACCTGGCAGGGGAGATATCGGGGCGGGTCATCCCGGTGCTTCTCAAGCTCTCAGGCTGCCCCGCCACCTGGAACAGATGGCCAGCGGGTGGCAGGAGTGCCCCTTCCAGCTGAGGGATGCAGCAGGCGTCACTGAGGCTCGCTCCGTAACCCCCCAAGTCACGCTCTCAATGGTCAGGGCAGTGTAGAGGGTCAGGGCTGGCCAGTAATTATGGTGGAGGGCAGTGCAGAGGGGTAACACCAAGTCCAGCGGCCCTGGCTGTGGCACAGGACCCAGGCTGGACCGGCCAATGCCAGCTTGTGTGCCCCACGCAGCCAGGAGACCTATCCCCCTCACCCTGCCCCTCCTTCGAGCTCCACCCGCTAGCAACTTCGGGGATTTCCCAGGAGAAGAGGAACCAGACTTCCTCCTAGGCTGGTGCACCCCACACGCTTTCTGGGAAACAAGGCTTTTCCTTTCTGGGGCAGGCTCAGATGAGGGCTATACTGCTCTAGAGCTGCCTGGGAGACTCCCAGCCTTCCCCACAGGCTCCGGAGCCCCCTCCCTGACCCCCACAAGGGGCCCCAAGGGAGGAGCAGGACCTCCCCATGAGTCACCTCACCTGCAGCTGGGTCCCCACCCCAACCCTGACTCATCCCTTTCCCAGCAACTCCTCCTGGGCCCCCACCAGTGAGGGAGGGCAGGCTGGAGGGACCTGACCCTCCAACACAAAGCCACCAGACTTCTGACTACGGCCAGGCCATTTCCACAGAAGCAGAAAGGCAGTGCCCGGACAGACCACTGCTCCAGCCTGGGAGCCCCTCGCACTATGGTTGCTGCCCAGGCAGCTGGGCGTCCACACCCAGTCTTGAGTGCCTGGAGGAACAATGAACAAGAATCACTCAGACCACCTTTATTTTGTACACACTAGCGCCAGCAAGCCAGCCTCCGGCCCACGGCCCGACCCACTGGGTGTTGCCTGCTCCCACAGGAGTCCTGTAGGGAGGGTCTCTGCTCCCCACTGCCAGGCTAGAAAAAGATTTCTAAGCCCTCATCCCCAGACCTGAAGAGGACCCCACCCCTTACTCTGAACTGGGAACACAGACCCAGCACACCAACCTGCCCTTGGGGAGCCAGCTCGCCTTCCCAATGCCCCCATGCCCACCCCCACCAGTGCAACCTGAGCTGGCAACCGTGGTTGTCCTGGGTCGGTGGCAGGCGTACTTAGAGGGGACACCCACTCCAAACACAGCCTCCTGGCTTTTCCCTCCCTGCTGGGGACCAAATGAGGTGATGCTGGGTCGGGTGGGAGGGAGGCCCACATGGCCTCCCAGGCAGATCTTCCCTGCTCCATCTTGAGGCTACATCAGAGCCCAGAGCCCTGCTGGCCTTCAGGGACGTGGGCCAGGTCTCCTTCAATGTGACACCTGCCCCCAGCCCACCCCCAAGATCAAAGGAGGCAGAGACTGAGGGCAGCCGTGGCCCCACAGGTGCCCTGCACGGAGCTCTGGGAGCTCCTGAGGGCCCCACAGCTCTGGAAAACCCCACTTCCAACCAGGTCGCCTGAGGCTGCGCCTCAGGATGGGCAGGCAGGCTCCAGAGGGAGAGTCGGCCTGCCCACACCAAGGCCTCACCCCCAGGGCCCCAAGTGGAGCCTCAGGGGCAGGGGGCTAGGTCTGATGTGGCCACAGGCCCCACTGGGGTGAAGTCAAGGGTTCTGCGGTGGCACCTGTGGGGCGCCCGGCGGCCCTGCTGCCCCGACTTCCTTCAGCAGGAGCCTCCGGATGCCGACGCTTTTCCAGACACAGAGAAAAGTTTGTCTTACAGAAAAAACAAGCAAATGGAAAAACCAAAAGGCAAAGCAAACCCAACCCCCAGGATCGGCGGCCCCATGCCAGCAGGAGTGCTCCTCTGGCACCTGGGGATGAGCTGTGCGCCAGCGGGCGCCAGTGCGCCTACGTGATGTCCCTCTGCCGCGGCGGCCGGTGAACGTTCCGCACGACGCACTTCACCATCCACTCAATGCCTTCGCGCACCCCTTTGCTGTGGAGACAGCGGGCATGAGGCAGGGTCAGCTGTGGCCCCCGGCCCACAGGGCGGGGGCCCCACTCACCCCGTGAGGGCCGAGCAGGCCTGGGTCAGGCAGTCACGCCTGCCGATCTTGGAGGTGCAGTCGCTGAAGGCAGTCTTGATGTCAGGGATGCAGAGGCAAGCCTGGGGGAAGAGGAGGCAAGGTCTTGAAAAGCAGGGTCCCGTGCCCCACCCCGAGGCCATTTCCTGGCCCCCAGAGCAGTCCCTCCAGTTGGCCAGGGCTGGACGTGAGCTTGCAGTGGGGGGCTGAGGACGGGGTGTGAAGCAGTGGTGGCCCTTGGGGGCTTCCCTGCCCAGGAGTCCTGGCTGGCGAGCGGCCTCAGACACAGGAGCAGGCAGCAGGGAAGAGGGGGATGAACAGACCAGACGTGATCTAAGGTACACCCTGGCCCTCAGGACGGCTGGCGGCCACGACACATGCCCTAGAAACAGCCCACTGCCCTGCGTAGCGCCCCTGCCATGCAGACAGTCCACGCGGACAGTCACCAAGCCACCCTGTGCCTGGGCAGGCAGGTGCAGCTGACCGATAGTCGGTCTGTCCCCCTCTGCCACTGCCCCTGGTCCCAAGGGAAGCAGACAGGTCAAGGGCTGCGCTGGCCCACACACACACCCTGGGATCCGTCGTTTCTCCCCAGACCATCATCTGGGTCTCCCCACCAAGAGGCTGCCAGCTGCAAAGGGACACGCATGGCTGCCCTCCAGTGGAGAGAAGGTGCCTGCACCACAGGAGAGGCCTGGGGGAGGGGCTCTGTGCACTCCAGGCCAGCACGGCTTGGGTGTCCGAGGAAGGTGGTGGCCCTCCCCTGGAACAGGCACCCCTGCCCCCTGGTACTGCAGGCACACTCACACTGGGGGGCTCCACTGTGGCAAGGGGGCTCACCTCGACATCCTGCTTGTTGGCCAACACCAGGATGGGGACACCGTCCAGCGCCTCACTTGTGACCATCTTCTCTGGAGGACGAAGAGGCAGCGGTGAGCACCCTTTGTCTACCTCCCACCACCTGGCCCCGCCCAGGGGTCCCCACATCCCAGCTAACCTCTCCACAGGCATGGACGCTCTTTCTCTGGGCCAGGGCCCTTCTGACCTAGTGTGGGCCCAGCCTCCCCGCAAGGCCAGCTCTGGACACACGAGATGTGCAGACTGGACCTGACCATTTCTCCCAGCCCCCTCCAGCCCTGGCTGGGCCACACCCACCAAATGCTCGCTTGGACTCCGAGAGCCTCTCCTCGTCGGTGGAGTCAATGACATAGATGACGCCATGGCACTCTGCATAGTACTGGGGAGGGCAGAGAGGGGGTGCTGAGCCATGGGCACTCAGCCGCCTCAGGGGCACTCCTGACTAGAAGACCCTTCTGGGGGTGGGAAGGTGGGTGGAGTGGAGATGCGCCCCCACACCCTGTCAGGAAGGGCTTGCTGACCTCGGGTGGGGAGTGGCCACCTCCCCCCCACTTCCCGCTGCCGCACACCAACCCCACTTCAGCGTCTGCTCCTGAGAACCACCCATGACCACCGCCTGCTGGTGGCCAGAAAGGAAAGATGGGGCTTGGGGGCTGGAGGAGCCCAGACCAAGCCCATCCCTCTGCAGACCTGGAGTTGGAGAGAATGCACTGATGGGGACTTGTGCTGGCACAGACAGCAAGCCTGGCAAGTGTGTCACTGACAAGCCTTGGAAAGACCACTGAGGGCTGAGGCCAGCTCCACACCAGCAGCAGCTCTGGCCCCTACACAGAACGGCAGGGCCAAAGACCAAACCAGCATCACTAAGCTCAGAGCTCTGCAGGCCAGACTGGTGCCAGGAGGGCAGTCAGCCCTGGGCTTGCTGACAGCAAGTGTCACAGGATCCCCCACAACAGTTAACCACCAGAGCCTGGGGACAGCTGGGGGACAAAATGGAACATAGCACCCCTCAGAAAAGATAGATACACAAAGTGGGGACATATGAGGGACGGACCCACTGGGCGCGGGGCATGAGGGATGCAGCCACAGGTCTGGCGAGTCCACCCTCTATCCTAATCAGACCACCGGAAGCACCCGCGTTCAGGAGCACCTTCGCCACTCTGCCCCAGCTCTCCTGCCTGTCACAAGACCCCAGGGACCTGGAACATCCACACTGACTCCTACGGCAAGGCCATTCCACTAGCTGGGCAGGACGAGCCAGCGGTCAGCGAGCTGAAGGCCCTGGTGATGCATGTGTTCCAGGGGGTGGGAGACACCCGGGGAGGCCCAGGCCTGGCAGCTCTGGACAATTCTTAGGGTATAGTGAGCAGGGTACCCCGACCCCAGCACAAGACAAGCTCTTGTATATGCATTTGCTACAAAAGAGGAACCCAACGCAGCCCTCCTGGGTCCTGCAGGCCATCAGTCCCACACACAAAAACTTCTCCAGCCTACATGCTAGGCAAGGTGAGGACAGTGGGCTGGCCGTCTTGGGGCTGACACAGGGAGCTGGCAGGCCCCACAGTGGAGGTCTCCGTGGCAGCAAGCCCAGTGAGACAATCACCAGGCAGCCCCTGGGGCCCCAGAGAGTGGCAGAGGACTTCTGGCATGCAGCTGGGCCCTGGCAGACGGATGCTGGAGCTGCCGCCATACCCAGTGGATGTCAGGTGATGATCCAGCAGTGGTGGCAGCGACAGGAGAGCACACCTGGGGCTCAGTGTGAACAAGCCCAGGGGCACAGCAGGCTGCTCTGGCCCCACAGCACTCGCCACGCTCCAGACCCTCATGGCTGCATCACGTGTGGCCACGTGGGGGGGGATCCCACACAACCAGCAGAAAGAGGGAAGGGCTCAAGCTTGGCTTCTGGGTGGGCCCACACCAAAGGTCTCTTGGGTGTGGCCTAGAGGAAAAGAACAGAAGTCCTTCCCGCGGCAGAGCGCCAGTGGTCCCCCTGGTCCCGCTTGTGTGGGCAGACGCGGCCCAAGGCTAGCATGCGCACAGACCCATAGGCAGCAGCACACAGCCTAGATGAAGGTCTAGGGCAGACATGGAGCAGTGGACACGGGGAGTGAAGGTCCACCAGACATCTGCCGGGGACAAAATGACTCAACTGGCCCAATACAGTGCTGCGGTGCTGGACCACATGGGGGCCGGGGGCCAGGGCCCAGGACGCAGCATCGGGGAACGGGGAGGCGAGTAAGAACTCCACTTCCCATCCCCCCAGTGACCCACAGGGGACTCCACTGCTCCTTCCCAGCTCTGGGCTCTACAGGGCTGGGGGTGTGGTCAGCACGGCAGTACCGGCTCACCAGGTGCATGGCAGGAGACCTGCTGAGTCACAACCCCTGGCTGCCTCCTGGGCACACTGGACAACCCGTGTCCAGGGCCCAGCGGAGACCCCTCTCTGGCAGGGGGTAACTGACCCCATCAGCAGGAGGTGGGGCGCCCACTCCACAGCAAGCCAGAGAGCACATGAGGAACCCAGGGGACCACCAGAGAAGGCGACCTCAGCAGTCAGGGCTCAGCCCCTCATGATGAAACCATGGCACAGGCAGAAGTAGCAGTGCAGGGGGCCACAACCAGCTGCAAAGCTGGCCTGTGGTGTGGCTTGTCCCTCTCCTCCCTCTTCCAGCTTCCCCGCAGGAGGAGGCCCCAATCTTGGAGGAACTGCTCCCCAAGGCAAGGGCACGGATGCAAGCGTAGCACAGTGGGTGGTGGCCAACACAAGAACCTGCCACCTGCTGCAGCCTTGCTGCCCAGTGGCAGGCAGTGTACCCAGTGACGTGTCTCTACTTGGCTCCTGCAGGACCCACTTTGATCCACAGAGAGCCTCCTTACCAGATCACAGCTGCCCAGGGCAGCCCACCATGGTGACCCACCAGGCAGTATGGAGTCCCAGCCAGCTTGGCCTGACAGTGGGCAGCTGTGAGCAGTTTTCCTCCAGGGCTCCCCACTGGGCCAGCCACAGTCCCTCTGGCCCCAGCACCCGAGCTGACCCCTCCCCCTGCCTAGTCCCATGTCCTCTTGGCTCCCTTCCCAGGTGCTGGTCACCAACACGAACCCTGCACCCCAACCTCCGTCTCAGCACGTGCTCTTGAGACCGTTGCCTGTGACACAATGGTGGAATCTGTTTCACTCCCCACACGGGTCTGGGGTTCGGACAGTAGGCTTGGCTCTTCCTCAGTCCAACTTAAATGGCCACAGGGAGCCTGTCAGTCACCTTTTGGCAACAGAATGGAAGCTGCTCTCTTGGCTAGAAATCAGAGCAAGAGAAAATGCTTTGGAAAAGGTGACTGGGTACCTACTGCTAGGGTCAAACCAGAAATGAGGACCAAGGCACTCAGTTCTCAACACATAGGCAACCAGCAAGTACTGGGGCGGGCACGTCTGCACCAAACCCACCATGCCAATCCATTGGGACAGGGCTGCCTAGGGAAGGAGCTAGGTCTGTCCCATTCACCGCTAGACCCGTGTTGGGCACAGGCTGAGCTGGAGACAGACTCCAGTCTTGAGGTTTGGGGGGAGGAGCACCACACTGGGGTCTCAGAAATGCCCGAAACTTATGTCAAAAGAGGATGCAGTTGCTGTGGGTCTCTGAGGACATCCTCCCGGATGGGGAAGAGACCACCACGGAGTACAGGTCCTAAGCTAGGATTGAAGGAGAAGGACCCAGCGGGGGAGACGCAGGCCCTGCTGGTGGGGCCGAGTACTGCAGGTGTGGTGCCTTCTCTACATCTGTTTCTTGGCCATCTTTTGTCTCGTCCTGGGGTGAGTAGCAACGACAATCTCTAAGCCAAAATGAACCAAGTGTGTCCTCACTGTTGGGGGAGAAGTGCAGGAACTGGGATAGGACTGGGGGGGTGCTCAGGAACAAAGTGGGTGATGGGGGCTGCTGACAGGAGGGAAGGAAGGTGAGCCTGAGGCTTTCTGAGGAGAGGAAAAAGCCCAGGGGTGCCACCTGGGCAGAAATGGCACAAGGGGCAGGCGGTACGCGGCATCTATCTTACCTTGTCCCACAGAGACTGCAGCTCTTCCTGCCCCCCTAAGTCCCAGAACAGGAGGCGAGCCTTTCCCACATCCACAGTGCCAACTGGGAGAAGAAAACAGGCAAGGCTGTGGCCTTGGTCCCTGACACACCATCTCCCAGCTCTCCGGGGGCAGAGGCCACTCTGGTGCTCCTCGAGGACCAGCCGACGGAGCTGGAGCAGAGGCCTCATACACAAGGCTCTGCCGCCTGCCTACTGGCCTGAGGACGTCACAGCATCCTGAGGGGTCTGCCCCCCAAACCCACAGCCCTAAGGGATCCTCTTACTGTTTAAACCCACGGTGGTGGTGATTTTGGATAGACTCATCCCCTTGTAGTTCTTGTTGAACCGGGTTTTTGACTGCTCCAGAAAGGTCTGCGGAGCAGGAAAGAGGCATTAGATAAGGACTAGAGAAGTTTTCAAGTCTGTTTTGCTAATGTCTTTCCTTTAACCCATTCCTTTAAAACAAAGCAAAACACAACAACGTTTTGCTTTTAAAGCAGCTTGTGGTGACCGTCCCGCAGCCTTAAATGGGGTTTGGATTCTGTCCAGGTGGTGGGCATACTAGTAAAGGCACAAACCAAACGGAGAGGGAGCGCAAGCACGCACCGTCTTCCCGGCATTGTCCAGACCCAAGATCAGGATGCAGTACTCGTCCTTCTGAAACATGTACTTGTACAGGCCCGACAGCAGCGTGTACATCCTGCCCTGGGCACCGCGAGAGACCAGTCACGACGCTCCGACCGGCGCCTGCCTGCCCTGCCCGCTGACAGCCCAAATCTGGTCCGAAGCACTCCCGACTCCTCCCGCCGCCCGTCCCTCTTCGGTCTCCCCACTCTGCCCTCTTCCCCGTAACTCTCTCCATCCCTCCGGACCGCCGGCTGGTGTCCTCGCCCCAGGGCGCTCCTCCTCCCCAGTCATCGCCGGGCCTCCCTCCGCTCCCCGAGCCCCAGGCCGGTCAAGGCCCCACGCCCTCCCGAGCCCCCCGGGCGCTCCCACTCCGGCCCGCAAGGACGAGCCACCCCTGCCCGCCCGGCCGGAGCCCGGGAAACAGCGGGAACCCCGGACGCCCGCCTCCGGGAGCCGGGTGCGTGTAGGGGGCGGCCCGGGGCGGGCAGCTGGGGACAAGCCGCCCCGCCCGGGGCCCCGCCTCCCGACGCCCCGACCGGACACCGGCCTTCGGGGCCCGCGGGCCGGCCGCCGAGAGCTGCTCCGGATCGGCCGCCGGTCCTCGCCGCGACCTCGGACCCACCCGGGAGGCGAAGAACCTGCCCGTCTACCTACGCCCGCCGGCCACCGCGCCTGAGCCCGCGGACCGCCGACCCCGCGCGGCGCCCGACGGGACACGGGCCTGCTGTCCCGGCGGCCCCCGCGCAGGCACTTCCGGTGGCGGCCGCGCTCGACAGGAAGTGCGCGTCGGCGGCGAGGGCGGAAGCGGGACGCCGGGCCGCTCTAGCCGGTGAGGCGGCGGGCTCTCTATGGCCTGGCGGGGGCGCGGAGGACCGAGGGAGCCCGGCGGCGGCGCCCCGGGCGGGGAGACGCGGCGTGGGGCCGCGGCCGGGCTCCGGCTGTGGCTCTTCCGCTTGGAGCCGAGAGCCGTTCCCCGCCTGTCTTCTCGTCCCTGCGGCGGGACCGCGGGCGGCCCTGAGGGTGGCCTGGGGGCCCCGCGCCCGTCGGCTCAAGCTCCGCCGGCTCACCGGCTTCTCTCCCCGCAGCGCAGCCTCCGGAGGATCCGGGCCGACCCCCAGGATCCGGGCCGACCCCCGAGGGCCAAGCCATCCCCCGAGGACCAAGCCATCCCCCGAGGTCCCGGGCCGCCTCACCCGACGACCGAGCCGCCCCCCGAGGACCGGGCGCCCCCGGGATGGACGAGGACAGCCTGCAGGCCGCCCTGCAGGCCCACGGCGCGCAGCTGCGGCAGGTGGAGCGGGCCCTGCGCGCCGGCCTGGACGCCTCCGAGCTGGCCGACCTGCGCCAGCTGCAGCAGGACCTCAAGGAGCTGATCGCGCTCACGGAGGCCAGCCTGGTGTCCGTCAGGAAGAGCAAGCTGCTGGCCGCGCTGGACGGCGAGCACGCGGCCCGGGACGAGGCCGAGTACCTGGCCTTCCAGACGGCGGTGGCCGAGGCCGTGGAGGCGCCGGGAGCCCCGGGGGCAGAATCGGAGCCTGTCCCCGAGAGAGAGGCCGGGCCGGAGGAGGCCGGCGGGCTGAGCGGGCGGAAGGTGAGCGCGCCCTACCGCAGCCCCTGGGGCACCCTGGAGTACCACCACGCCATGGTGGTGGGCGCGGAGGCGGCGGCCGGCGGCGGCGCGGGCGTGCGCGTGCTCTATCTCTACCCCACGCACCGCGCCCTGAAGCCCTGCCCGTTCTTCCTGGAGGGCAAGTGCCGCTTCCAGGAGAGCTGCAGGTGAGCGCGGGCCGGCGGGCGGGCGGGCTCGCGGCGTGTCCTGGTCTGTGGTCTGTGTCTCCCTGGGTTCCCTCGGGTCAGTCGGGAAGGAGGCACCTTCTTCGCGGTGAGACCTCTGCAGTGTCCGTCCGTCGTGGAAACTCGCCCGCGCGAGGTTAGGGAGCGCGGCCGCCCGCGCCGTCCTCGCCGGCCGTCTCCTCCCGTCTGTCCTCCTGCCTTGGTTTTTTTTTCTTGGACTATTTTAAAGCGAATTCTGGAAGTTGCTGGTTTTTTCACCTATAAATAGTTAAGAATGCACCCCTAATCTAACTGACAAGGACATCATAAAAAGGTCATCTCCGTGTCGCCGTTGCGCCCGACAGAGGGAACCGCAGTGCCCCGTCCCTGCTGACGTTTCCACGGCCCCTGTGACGGTGTCTTCTTTTTCTCAGGGCGCGACTTTGATTTTGCTCCTTCGTGCTTTGTCTTGAGAAGGAATATTGACTGAAATTTCTAGTAGATAATTCTCTTTTTTAGCCAATAGTCCAGGGTAACTGTCTCTAGTTCTTTGGTCGTGTTATTTCCTTATAGACTTTTGCAGGGTCCCAAGTCTTATCTGGTACGTCTTCCTTCCTTCCTTCTTTCTTTGTAAGTTTTATTAAAGAACAGCACACATACAGGTTAGCACGTAGATCATGAGGGGACTCGGAGAGCTTTCAGAGGAGACACAGCCTGTCCCCAGTACACACGTTAAGTAAGAGACGTAATGTTTCTATCCTTTTTTCCCTAGTCCCTCTGGGGGGCACGTCCACATGTGATGTCCCCTGTGGTGGTGAGAGCTGGCATGTCCACGTGCTGCTTCCTCTGGGACAGGCACTTTCCTCGAGTGTCACAGTATGGACTGTGTCTAGTGTCCCCACGAGGTGGCCTGCCACCACTCAGGGTGCATGGTTCCGAGGGGCGGAGCTGGGGCCCCAGCAGTCTGGCTCTGAGACATCCCCACTCGCCGTGATTTGCGCTGTCAGCTTTAGGCCCCACCGACACATCCTACACACACCCACCTCGCATCACTCAGCACTGCTAAGTTATTTACTTGCATTTGATTTAGATTTTTAAAAATACAATAAAATAGACAATGTTGAAGCACTCTTTGACCACTCTCTGCTGCAGTCCCCTCTCTGTCCCGGGAGGCTGTCATTGTCACACTTGGGTGTGTATCTCTCTAGCGTGTGTTAGTTCTTTACAGGCATACGTGTGTCTGTAAGTGGTACATGTCTGTGCTTTGTTGTCTAAGTGGTGTCGTACGGCAGTTCGTCCTGCACCTTGCTGTTTCTGCTAAGCGTGTTTGTGAGAGACTGCCGGGTTGATGTTTATAGAACTGTTTCATTCATTTTCACTGCTGTGTTATCTTCTTTCATGTGAATATACCACATTTTACTCACTCTGTCCCTTTCTGATGTTTTCCAATTTTTATTTGTTACAGTGTGCTGTGAACATCCTAATACTGTCTTCTTTTGTAACTGACGAGAATTTCCCTAGTGTGTAACCAGCGTGGAGAGTGTGTGCAAATTTTCTGTTTTCATGTGATGTATGTTTCCTTGTCCCTAGTCTTCTCCACAGTCACCTGCAGTGACATTATCCGACTTGCAGATTTGTGCCCATTGAAAGCTGGGAAAATGGTGTCTTGACTGAATTTGTATTTCCTTGATTACTGGCGAGATTGAGTATCTTTTCATACATTTGTTGTAACTTAATCTCTATATTTCAGTCTCCTTACCTGTAAAACAGAGATGAGAATCATCTTTCACAGTTGTTGGGAGAATGGAGTGCGTTAATGTGTGTCAAGAGTATAGAGCAATACCTAACATACAGTTAAGCACACAGTAGATTTTTAGTTCTTACGTTGTTATTGTAAAATAAAATCGGATACAGGAAGTAAATACATAGCATGGGGCGTTATTGGAACACTCTAGTAATCAACATTCAGATCAAAACTACAAATATGCTAACCACCCCAGAAGCCCCTCCCTGGGCCTCAACCCAAACACAGCCTTCTGCCTCCTCCAAAAATCACCACCACCCTGACTTTTATGATAACACCTCCTTGTGTTTTTATGGCTTGTCGCTCAAGTGTGGCTGTGGTGTGAACACTGGGTTTAACCTTTTAAAGATTTTATTTATTTTATTTTTTTTCCCCCCAAAGCCCCAGTGGAAAGTTGTATGTCGTAGCTGTACATCCTTCTAGTTGCTGTACGTGGGACTCGGCCTCAGGATGAACGGAGAAGTGGTGCCTGGATGCGCACCCGGGATCCGAACCCGGGCCACCAGCATCGCAGCGCGCGCACTTAACCACCAAGCCACAGGGCTGGCCCTACTGGGTTTAACCTTGCTCGCTGTGTAAGCCTGCTGTGTCAGGATCTGGCAGTGCACGCCCTTCTGCCTGCCTTTCCTGGCCTCACAGCTTCTCTGTTGAAGGCCAGACTGTCTGACCGAGCATGGAACACCGCTGGTGCAGTCCAGCACGTTGCTCCGTCCGCTGCAGGCTGGCAGCTGGATCCAGGAACTTGATCCCAGAACTCGGGTTCTCCCTTTGGCAAGGCTCCCGGTGCTCTTCTTTCATCAGGAGACACCTGAGTTGAGCGTTTCTTTTGCGGTGCTGGCAGCCCTTAACGCTCCATGCCTAGATCCACTGAATCAGTGGGGATTGCAGGATAGAGATCTTTCCATTTTATCAGTTCATTTCATTTATTAGCTGGAATGTTATGAAGAGACGCTTTCCCTTTTCTACGACTTGGCTGCCCAGTGGTACAGTTCACGTTGAAAAGGCGAGATGTGTGCTGGATTTTTCTGTTTTGTTTACTTAGTTTCCAAGATAATAAATTCGTTCTTTCATCCTGAGAACGTGATGAATTACCTTTTAAAAAAATATTTAATATCCTTAGGGACTCATGGATTCACACATATTTGAGGAATTTCAACCCACTGAGATTCTGATCCTTATCGAGGCTCAAACATCCCACCTCGGCAAGTGGGACCCTCTTCACGTGGGCTCCTGCGTCCTTTTGACATGGCCCGGTAGTCATTGCTGGGGAGTCAGGATGTTCTACACTTGTCCATGCCTTTTCTGCCCCAGAGCTGGAGTCAGCCCGTCTCCAAGAAGCCCTGGTTTCTTTTAACGGGAGATGGTATCTCAAGACCCACAATGCGGGCACTGGGATGCTCTCTGTCGCTGGGTTGGTCATTGTCCAAGGTTTCCAGTGGACGGAGCTGGGACGTATAAGTGGACACACACGTATGTACATGTGAGTGTATATATACACATACCATATACCTATGTTTTTAAAGACAAAATGCTTTGTGAATTCATCTGGATATTTCCAATTTAAACTGAGGACTGCAGTGTTGAAGTCTTTTCTGGATCACATCTCTGCCCAGGATTTCCTTCTCCACCCAGGATTCTGGTGCTCAAGAACACAGAGGATGATGGATTCCAAATGCCCCCTAGTGATTTATCTATTTTATCCCATCTTACACACACACGACACTCTCAGAATAGCAACACTCATTCTTCAGTTACAATGATTGAAAACTGTTAAAAATGTCTACACCCCCATTCTCCCTGCCATTCTTATGATTGTACTAGAGCTTCGCTGTCAGATCATATGGCCGTTATGTACCATCATCTCACTCTTGCTCTCAGCCTCAGTTCTAGAAGGACCTATATGTTTCATGCTCACAATCAGTCCGTATGGTGGTATTTTTCTTGTTCTAAAAGATCCCTCAGGAAGGGCTCACGGGAGACAGGCATGCCTCATTTTATTGCACTCCACAGATACTGCGTTTTTTGCAAATTGAAGGTTTCTGGCAACCCTGCCTCAAGCAAGTCTGTCAGCACCATTTTCCAATGCGTTTGCTCACTTAGTGTCTTTGCCTTTCAGTTTGGTAATTCTCACGGTATTTCAAACTTTTTCATTATTATTTGTTAGGGTGATTTGTGATCAGTGATCTCTGATGTTACTATTGTGGTCATTTTGGGGCACCACGAACTGCCCATATAAGACGATGAACTTAATAAATGTTGTGTGTGTTGTGACTGCTTCACCGACTGGCTGTTCCCCTGTCTCTCTCCCTCTCCTTGGGCCTCCCTGTTCCCTGAGACACAACAGTATTGAAATTAGGCCAATTAATAACCCTACAATGGCCTCTAAGTGTTGAAGTGCAAAGAAGAGTCGCACGTCTCTCACTTTAAGTCAAAAGCTAGAAATGATTAAGCTTAGTGAGGAAGGCATGTTGAAAGCCAAGACAGGCCGAAAGCTGGGCCTCTTGCACCAAACAGGGAGTCAAGTTTTGAATGCGAAGCAAAAGTCCTTGAAGGAAATTAAAAGTGTTACTCCAGTGAACACACGAATGATGAGAAAGCGAAACAGCCTTATTGCTGATGTGGAGAAAGTTTTAGTGGTCTGGAAAGAAGATCAAACCAGTCACAACTTTTCCTTAAATCAAAGCCTATTCCAGAGCAAGGTCCTAACTCTCTTCAGTTCTATGAAGGCTGAGAGAGGTGAGGAAGCTGCAGAAGAAAGGTTTGAAGCCAGCAGAGGCTGGTTCATGAGGTTTAAGGAAAGAAGCTGTCTCCATAACTTAAAAGTGCGAGGTGAAGCAAGTGCGGATATAGACACTGCAGCAAGTTATTCAGATCTAGCTGAGATAACTAAGGAAGGTGGCTTCACTAAGTAACAGACTTACAATGTAGACAAAACAGCCTTATATCGGAAGAAGATGCCATCTAGGACTTTCATAGCTAGAGAGGAGAAGTCAATGCCTGGCTTCAAAGCTTCAAAGGACAGGCTGACTCGCTTCTTAGGGGCTAATGCAGCTGGTGACTTTAAGTTGAAGCCAGTGCTCATTCACTATTCTGAAAATCCTAGGGCCCTTAAGAATTATGCTAAATCTACTCTGCCTGTGCTCCATAGATGGAACAACAAAGCCTGGATGACAGCACGTCTGTTTACAACATGGTTTAC